GTGTGTGTGTGTGGTGTGTGTGTGTGTGTGTGTGTGTGTGTGTGTGTGTGTGTGTGTGTGTGTGTGTGTGTGTGGTGTCATGATTCGGTTCTGTGTTGCTTCCTGTCAGGCTTTTATTTTGATGCTACGTCCTGTTTTGTTTCACCACAGTTTTGGTCTTTTTACTTTCTTCATCACCCGCATTAGTTTCACCTGCTCATTATAGTTTGCACCGCATCATAAGCAGCCTTCACCCACCAATCCCAGCCAGATTGTTCTAGACGCCACCTCTCACTCTCCAGCATTTTTCGGTTTTGGTACTTTGTGTTTTTGACTCGGCTTGTTCCTCTGACTATTCTGTTCTGCCTTGCCCTCTTGCTTCAGACTGTCACTGTGTATAATTATCGGACTTCCCTTTGGACTACGTATTTGGATTCCTCTGCTGTATGTGTTTGCTGGCTCTGATCTCGGACTGTTTATACCGACCTGTGATTTTTGTGTTTCACCGTGTCTTGTATGGTTTTGTTTAGCGTTAGTTCTCTTATTAAAGAGACGGTTTTGTTTTACATTTCCTTGTCTGGCCTTTTAATTGAGTTCACCCTCAACATTTTTGGCAGCATAACGCGCCGATTCCTGACATGTGGTGTGTGCGTGTGTGTTTGTCTTTATATACTTGTGCGAACCAACCCCTGATGGAACACCTTTCTTGTGTGGACATTTCATTGGTGACTTTCACCAATGCGGTTTTTGTACTATGATGGACTCTAAATCCTGACTGAAAATCCTCAAACAAATCATTCTTGTGCAAGTGGTCACATAACTGCTTTGCAACAGCTTTTTCAAGGATTTTGGAAATAAATGGGAGATTGGATATTGGTCTATAATTAGCTAGGACACCTGGGTCAAGAGTAGGCTTTTTGAGTAGAGGTTTAATTACTGCAAGTTTAAAAGCCTGTGGAACATAACCTGGTGCATCTGCCTACAGCAGCTGTGGCGAGTTGGTGCTGCTGGGTGGTCCTTAATAGTTTCCTTACTCAGTACATAGCAAGCATATTCATCTCAGCTGTTTTCCTAGCTCTTCCTCATGTTTCTGCTCCTCTGTCTGTGCAGATGATGCGGCAGTTGTATCAAGAGTGTAATCTGGTTCACGCTGATCTCAGTGAATACAACATGCTGTGGCATGAAGGGAAGGTAGGACTGTGTCTTTGTATTCTTTCACTGACTCTAACCCTTCATCTGTTCTTCTTTTGTTGATTTCATCTAATTTTCAGACCGTACTTTGACAACTCGGTAGAGAAGGTGGAATAACAACTTGTGCTGGCCTGTCCTCGTTTCACCCCATATTGCCCCATGTAGCTGTTCTTCTTCTGTCCCCCCCCCTTGTTGATTCGTTGCCTCTGTACTCCTCTTTTGTTCATTGTAGGTGCAGTTGTTACGAGTCTCTTTTCTTTTGATGAGTTTGTGTGTCTGTGTTGTAGGTCTGGTTGATAGATGTCAGTCAGTCCGTGGAGCCCACCCACCCTCACGGTCTGGAGTTCCTCTTTAGAGACTGCAGGAATGTTTCCACGGTAACATCTAGTTTCTTTTTCATGAACAGAAAATTTCCATTCCAAAATCCTGAGAAGTCGACAACTGACAAATGCTTTAGTCACATTTTGTGTATGTGTGTGGTTGCTGTTTTGCTGGGATCCACTTGTTTATGAAATAGCATCAATAATCTGGATAAGAGCAGAAGAAATATAAATAGTATGGTTTGTCTGGTTTGTTTTGGGGCACAGTTCTTCCAGAAGAAAGGTGTGGGCGAGGCGATGAATGTCTACGACCTTTTCAACACTGTAACCGGGCTCCACATCCCTGTCGACACAGAGGACGAGGCTGCATTTATAGCCGAGGTAACACATTTAGCTTGAGTGAGCTGTGGCGTCTGCCGCACAGTGGGCGGAGCCCTCTTCAGAGAGGCACAATAGATGTGACAGACATTGTGAGAACAGAACAGAGCAATTGGGTCGGAGCAGGTACTTACTCATGAACTGTGCTCTCTCTCTCTGGCAGATTGTGGCGCTGGAGAAGAGGAATGAGGACCATGTGCAGAAGCGAGGGAAGAAAACTTTCCCTGTCACCTCTGAGGACAGCGGCCCTCCTCTTCAACTTGATGCTGATGACTAACACTTGCCCTGTTCACGCTCTCTTCACAATCCCACCGTGTTGAATAGGCTGTAAAGAGGAGGTGAATAGAGGCGGCCTCTGGAGGACCTGGCACCTCCCCCTACAACCCACTGGCCCCCACAGTCACTGCTTCCTTTCAACAGGCAGGATGGAGCGCCCCCTCCTGGCTGCTGGAGTTACATTTCATGTCTCCTGTTACAATTGGCCCACACTGACACAGTTTGTGTAAACAGATTGGCTGCAGCCACCGGTGGGTCCTTCATTGCTAAGCTTTGATCAAACATTTAATTTGATTTTAAAGACATTTAAATTCTAGAGGAGAGTTCAGTGTCGTGAAAGATACACCTGTGTCTGGGTGAAGCTTAGTTAATGGTGCATGTGTGAATACATGGGTTTGAATACATAATTCGGTAGCTTCAGCAAGGCAGCTTGAGTAGTATGTGTGAGAAAGACTGCAGGATCGATCTACTGTTTTAAGTGAAATTTAAAAAAAAATCTCAAAATACAATAATAATAAATATGAGCAGTAAATCAAATTTAGGGCTTTGGCTTTATAAAGCCAACCTCAGCTGTTTGTCCCTCTGACTCCGAGGCTCTGGTGAGGAGCAGGAAGCTCTGTCTCGTTTTCATCTTCACACTTGATTGTGTTGGTCCTTGTCCTCATCGCTTTTTCTCTTGCTCTGGTTCTATCTATTCCATCTCCAGGTTTGATTTTCTCTAAGGCTGGGTATCGTTAGGGATGTTTGGGGCTCCTGTAGATGCATCACCTTAGTTCACTTAGGATAAAAGCCAATACATCAGGAATTGGTGAGCTCATAGTGCAACGTGGAAAACACAACTCACTAAAACATAAAAAGAACATTTTAAAATCCAAAGTACCATAAATGGTGCTTTCTCTGTGCCTCACATTTAAAAATCAAAACCTAATTGGACCCTTTTCTCATATTTAACGGAAACGACAGAATATCTGTGTGATGCGACAACCCGACCTGAAGTAACTGTTTGTTTTTTAACTAGGGATTTGATGATTTTTTGACTGAGGTCATTCTGGTTCTCCATTTTGAAGGCCACCCCAAAACACTTAGTTCTACTCTGAGGAGTCATTTATAAACCTGGAACCAGTGAATATTTAGTGGGTTTGCTTAAAATGTTCTTTAGCAATTCTTTGTGTCAAAATAGCTGCTGATTAATTTCCTGTCAATTGGCTGATCGTTGCATCTGCGCTCATTCCTGTTTTCAGCAGTTCAGGGTCAAATGTGGAAAGGGAGGTCTCAGTGGTTGGTTTGGGTGTTTGTGAAAGCTAAAGCAGGGCGATGCTTTGCTACCTGTCACAATCAGATGAGTACAAGGAAACCAGTTATTCTGGCATTGTGTGATGAAATATAAAGGATGCTGTTTGCAGTAGCTCAGATTTTATATCTTCAGATGAGAAAGTGTTTGTCTCTTGTTCATGTTGTTGTGTTTTAATGAGGGAACATGCAGCCACAGAGGCTTCACATGAAGTTGGATATATTCTAATGAAATGCTCCATTATGTGTGGAACAGTCTGCAGACTAGTTGTGACAATAAAACCTGAAGATTAAAAACTCTGTTGACTCTTAATCCAACCAGAATCTAAAAACTTGAGCAGATTATCACAGAAACATTTGGAGGTTTGGTTCCTTTAGAACTAGGTTACTGTGCACTTGATTTTCTATAGAGACCAAATCATTTTAAAGCAGCTGATCGTCAGTCTGTCACATGCCTCTACAGAAAAACTTCCAGATTCTTTCAGGGAAATGAGGGATTGGATCAGGAACTGAACACAATTGGAGACACTGAACAACATTATCATGAACCGGACGATGATTATGACCCTGAAAAAAACTTTTTTTATGAACTCTGAAAATAACTGCAAGTATTACACGGATGAGCAGTTTAACAGCAATGTTAAGACTGAAAACAAATTATCATTAATTCACTTTAATAGCAGAAGTTTATACGCAAACTTTCAGAGTATAAAACATTATCTTAGTAGTCTGACACATTCTTTTAATATAATTGCTATTTCTGAAACTTGGAT